TTGTAGGGGCGGGGCTACATAGAACAGTAGTACGGCTGTGAAACTTCAAGCACCATTATAGTTTTTAAAAAGCAGCTTTTCCTCCAGAAGCTAAGGCTCCAAATATCCTGCCATGCATTCTTTCCTGAAGACAGCCACAAACAAACAAACAAACAAACAAACAAACAATTACTCAGTTGAGATCCTGAACTTAGGATTTTATTGCAATTCTTCGCAACTGGATCTGGCCTGTGGAGCCCTAGCATCTGGGCCATGGTGCTGCCTGTTGATCTCAGACCAACTCCACACCCTGCATGCAGGATGTGGAGCTGGAGTGCGTACCTTTTGTGGCACCTCTGTTAGAGACATCTCTGCACGCTGCAGCTGCACAGGACTGGTCTGTGGGCCTCATCTAGCCCACAGACCAACTCCATGCCCCTCTTCTGGCCTGTACAGCTTGATGAATTTGGTACCAAGCATTCCAGCAGAAAAGAAGTTTAAGAAACAAAGAAAGACCTCCCCCCCCACCATTTTTACCTGTTCCAAAATTCCCAAAGTAGCCAAGGTCAAAATCCTACTTCTCAATAAATTGGATGACTCAGGCTTTATCTATTTGTTATAAATAAAATGTATGAGTTATATGTAAATAAAAAATATAAAATTAAAAAAAGTTTGTAGTCCTTACCACTGCAAAATGGAATTTTCTGGATGTGAACCAAGTTAGTGCAATTTTTCCAAATGTAAACTGATAAAAGTAACTATGACACAAGCACTATCACCACTCACCCATCCCTCAGGTTCTTGAGTTCTGAAGTCTACTATTCTGCATATTTACACTTCAAAATATAGTCTGTGGTAAAATACTAATTTCTCACAAATATCTGATGTGGACTGAACTCAATCTTTCCCCATCCTTAATCTACTGTGGCTCTGGAATGCTTTAGAAAAAAGTGAAGCACTGCAGAGTATCAAATTCTGTGCTGACTTAGTAAAAGAAAGTCTCCAGGTTATAATATATTGAATGTTATATTGCTATTCACTTACCTTCTTCTCCTCTGTTGTATCACCACTAACATAAGACAGCTTTCGGCGGACGTAAAAGAGCATATCATCTTGCCTGGGGGCCAGTTTTTCCATAAAATAAGTAGAAAACATCCAAGTCCAAAACACAATACGGTCATCTTTGAAAAATCCTAAAAGGGAGGAAATGGAAAATTAAGACTTGTGGAAGCCATCAAGCTGCATTTGCATATGCTAAGTACTGTATGCAACAACAGTTCTGAATGTTGTGGGACAAACTTGTCTTTAGTGAAGTGTTAGTTATGTGCTATAAGATAATATAGCCCAACTCATGTAGCATAACTTGTCATTCATAGTATATTTAAGGTCAGATCCTCAGCTGGTGTAAGTTACCATAGTTCTCATGATAACAGAGCTGTACTGCTTCACCACAGCTAAAGATCTGTCCCTAAACATTTATCTCTATTTGTTCAGCTCCTCAGGCTAGGTCATGGGAAATGACTGAGCCAAGGCACCAAGCTAGAAGACATTAGAGAAGCGAGGGAGCTAACTTCAATGTCAGTAATGCCATCATTTGCTGGAATTAATTACTTAGATCTATCAACTGGCAAGAAGCTTACTGTTGGCAGTCCGGGGAGCACTGCAGAAAGTGAATAATTGTGTTGTCTTTCTTTGTTCAAATCCCATTACTAAGAATGTATCTCGAAAGGTCCACCTCGGTGCATCCTGTATTTGACAAGGAACCTGCCTGAATTTTTAATGGGAACATAACCTACCTTCCCAAAATTCATAAAAGTTTAAAATTAAATTGAGAAACAAGTTAGAGACAGGAGAAAAAAAAGAAGTTGGGATAATAAAACCTAGCTGAAGGTGGAAACAAGAACTGTGCATGCTACCAGCAACAATGTAAGTCTTCATTGCTCAGCTCTCAAGGTGAGTTTAAACTTTGTGAAACTCTCTACATCAGGCTCAGGCAATTATTTCAGCTGGAAGGCTGCTTAATGTATTTTCATAGATTTCATAGACATTAGGGCTGGAAGGGCCTTCAGAAGATCATCGAGTCCAGCCCCCTGCCCAAGGGGCAGGAAGTCAGCTGGGGTCATAGGATCCCAGCAAGATAAGCATCCAAATTTGCTCTTGAAGCTGTTCAAGGTAGGTGCATGAACCACCTCCGATGGCAGGCTGTTCCAGACCTCGGGGGCTCGGGCAGTAAAGAAATTCTTCCTTATGTCCAGCCTGAAACGGTCTTGCAGTAGTTTATGATCGTTCGACCTTGTCATCCCTTGGGGCACTCTGGCAAACAAAGGTTCCCCCAGGTACTGGCAGTCACCCCAATAAACTTATAGGTGGCCATTAGATCGCTCCTGGGCCTGCGCTTTACCAGGCTAAAGAGCCCCATGGCTCTCAGCCTGTCATCGTAAGGTCTGTTTTCCTGACCTCTGATCACGCGTGTGGCTCTTCTCTGGACTCCCTCAAGCTTCTCCACATCCTTTTTGAATTGTGGAGCCCAAAATTGGATGCAGTACTCCAGCTGCAGCCTCACCAAGGCTGAGTACAAGGGGAGAATGACGTCCCGGGATTTGCTTGAGAAGCATCTATGGATGCAAGCCAGCGTTTTGGACACTCTACTGGTGAGGTGTCAAGGACTGCAAGGGTAGCCCCACCCATTAACAGGTGTCTCACCCCCCTGGTCGTCCTACCCTCTAACCCTTGGCCTTTGCCACGGGAAGTCCTTCCCCTTGTCCCCTGAAGTACTCCTTTTGGTGAAAGAAGAGGAAGTGGCCACCTTGGAACCAGAAAACAACCAAATTATACATTAAAAGTCAAACATCTACTACGTGCAGTCCTCGGACTTACAACACAACTGGTTCCTGAAAACCGAGTCTTACGTTGAAATGTTGCAACTCGGAACCAATTTTCCCATAGGAAACAATGTTATAAATGGGGGATTGGCTCCCGAACCAAGGCCCGATACCCTATTTTCACCAAAAAAAAATTAACCCAGAATCTTGTATTCAATCAATTATAGATGAGTAATATAGCTACATTAATGTATTTAAACTGTAAATAGCAATCATAGTGATTTGGAAGGATTTCTTTGAGGTGACTTTGCTGGACTTTCTGAAGGGTTCTTGGCTGGAATCTTCTCAGGAGTCTTGGCTGCAGGCTTTTCTGGAGCCTTGGCTGCTTTCTTAAAGGAAGTGTCCAAGGAAGTTTGGACAGATTCTCCAGGGAGATGGGCAACGCAGCAAAAAACTTATTCACTGGCATGGCATCAGATCAAGCATTGTAAAGACAGAACTGATGCCAAAAAGTCAAAACAGCGTGTGAATTTATAAAAGTTGTAAGTATGAAATGTTACAACTAAAAATGTAAGTCGAGGACTGCCTGTATAACATATTTTAATTTTATTTCAGAAGATATTTTTGTCATGATTTGTGTTCGTATAGAGTATACGGAGGCGATTGCATAATAGCTCAAAAATAAAGTCTTACTCTTGTATATTGTGTGGGGTGTGGCTGGGGGCAGATGGGTGTGTATATATGGTGCGGTGTAGGTGTATGTGGGGTTTCTGAAGCAGTGTGGCCATGTGTGGTGGTGGGTGTAGGGTAATATGAGAGGTTATGGGGACCCCCCACACACACTACCCCTCCATGGCACACAGCTCCCACTGCTGGGAGCAGCAGAGGTGGCAAGGCCTCAGGGTGCTTGGGGCCTGCTCAGGTGTTGCTGCCTGGCAGCGCATGGCCCCAGCCAGTTCCAAGAGCTGCATATGGCAGCAAGGAGTGGAGCCAGGCCAGCGTACTTCTATCATGTGGGGCTCCCCATGGTACACGTGCAGCTCCCAGCACTCACACACCACCAGGGCAGAAACCCCATGCAATAAAGCCAGCTGCCTCTCCTCCCTGCTGCCATGTCCAGGTCCCAGGACTCCACCAGAAGTGGAGGGAAGCCCCACCTCCTGCTTCCTGGAGGTGTCCCAGAAGCTGCACATGGCAGTGGGAAGCGAGGAAGGCAGCTGGCTTCATCACGCAGGGACTTCCCCCAGTGGTGCATGAGTGTCCAAAGCTGCATGCGAGTCATGGGAAGCCCTGTGTGGTGGAGGTGTGCTGGCCTGGCTCCACTCCTTGCCACCACATGCAGCTCCCAGAACTGGCTGGGGCCATATGCCACCAGCAGTGCCTGCCTGAGCCAAAAGCACCCTGAAGACTCACTGCCTGCTGCTGCTGCCCCTGGGGACAGTGGCTGTGTGCCATGGGGTAGTGTGTGGAAGGGGGCACTCCCCCACCCTCCCTCACACCCCACAAACCCACAACCTGCCCACCCAAGCTTCATGTCTTCACTGCCCCCCTGGCCAGTTGCCCAGTGCTGCTCCCCCTCCCTGCTGCTTCCCTACCTGGTGCCCAGAATAAGCACTACAGCTGAGAAAGCAGCAGGAGCTGCTGGAGGCCAGGGAAGCTGAGCAAGTCCCCCAGTGGCTGCAGCAGTGGCCCTGCCCAGAAGCTATACATGCTGGCTGGACCAGGCCCTTCCATGCACACGGATGGGAAAGAGATGTGCAGGCTCAGCAGGGTACAGTCAATTAGTGGGCACTCATGGGCTGGACGAAATTGCCTGGGGGGCTGGATCCAGCCTGCAGGCCATATTTTGCCCACCCCTGCTCTACACAGTTCAATTCAAAATCAGACAGCAGTAGCCTTTGCAGGGCACCCTCTCCAGCCCCACCACAACTATGCAGTAGGAATCTTTGTGACCCAAGACTTGGCTGGACAGAGACAGAAACAGATGCTGCATCCTCTTGCATGGTGAAAGATAAAAGTTTGGCAGTTGGGAGAATCATGGTTTCATATCACTGTCCATTTCTACAATTGTGTGGCCAACATCCAGCTTTTATAATCCTCTGGGATGAAAGACACTATACATGATTTATTGTGAAGAACCAAAACCCTGACGTGTGTGGGATGGGCATGGGAGGAGGGGGACTTAGGGGAATGGGGCCTGAGAGGGAAAGAAGGGAGAGGGAATGAAAGAGTATGGCTCACTTCCCCAATAGTAGTGTCTTAAGACAAGATGAGACAGCTTTTCCCAACCATTTTTCACCCCATGGCACACTTACCTAATTAGATAAAAGGGCACTGCAGCACACTGGATGCGGAGGGGTGGAGAGCATGGCACGCAGCAGCCAGACGCTGATGGGGAGGGGTGGTGCAGAGCCAGACAGACAGCATTTTGGGCTGGAGCCACACCCCCTGCCTGGCTGGAGCCACGCTTCCTGTCTGTGTCTGCAGCAGCAGGCAGCGGGGGTAGGAGTGTGGCTCCAGCCCAAAATGCCCCAGCACACCAGTTAGGCAATGCTGAGCTAAGACGCGCTGATTTATATGAAGCAGCATTCTTATCCATCGTAAAGTGAAGCATATTTATGATAACTAAATTAAGTTTCGGAGGAGTTTTTGGTCAACTGCAAAGAAAACTAACATTTCAAGTAATAGGTGATTTTTCTTGGAGTGCCTATCACCAATGCTTCATAAAATGGTATTAATCAATCTTTTAATCCATAAGTGTAATTCAGTATATTTTCCTACCTCATAGATATATATGCATTTCGTATTTACAGGGCCAAACTTCCTTCCAGGCTTAATAATACAGAAGACCCAAAATTAGGTCTTTAATTGGAGAAAATGGAAAATTCAAGAGTGCTTGGATTTTATTTCAAACTAAGTCCAAGAGTCATACTTCAAACAAAATGAAATTCACTGTAGGACCATGCAGAAAATGCATTAAATATCATCAATAAGAATGGCATTTGAGGCTACTGTCTATTAAATCTGAACATTCTTATTAATGAAAAAAGTCTGAGAAAGAAGCTGGAAATTTTTGGTGTAGGCTAATTCTGGGTATATTCTAGCACATTTTAAAATTCTGGGAAAACCTGTAATTGTTTTATTCATTTCAGTAATTGCATCAACTACTCAAGTGAGTAAGGTAACAACACCTGGCCTTAAATAAAATTTGTTGAGCATTTAGTAACGAGTAGGAAAAAAATGTACATGTTCACATTGATTCATTAAATGTCCCCCAGGAACCTGAACTTATTAAAATACCCTTGCTTTTGAGTGCTTAATTTCAAACTTAATACCATGTACAATATTAGAGGGGCTAGGAGGCAGGGGAA